GTTCACAGACGGAGCCCAAGAGGCGGCCACGCTTTGGTGACCTGTGGACTAGGATTTTCTTCATCACAAGAACATTTACATACATGGGAGAATTAATTACTTTACTTTTTATTTTTTATTTATTTATTTATTTATTTATTTATTTATTTTTTTGAGACAGAGTCTCGCTTAGTCGCCCAGGCTGGAGTGCAGTGGCGCGATCTCGGCTCACTGCAAGCTCCGCCTCCCGGGTTCACGCCATTCTCCTGCCTCAGCCTCCCGAGTAGCTGGGACTACAGGCGCCCGCCGCCTCGCCCGGCTAATTTTTTGCATTTTTAGTAGAGACGGGGTTTCACCGTGTTAGCCAGGATGGTCTCGATCTCCTGACCTCGTGATCCGCCCGCCTCGGCCTCCCAAAGTGCTGGGATTACAGGCGTGAGCCACCGCGCCCGGCCTTTTATTTATTTTTTGAAACAGGGTCTCTCTCACCCAGGCCGGAGTGCAGAGGCATGATCAGGGCTCACTGCAGCCTCGACCTCCCAGGCTCAAGTGATTCTCGTGCCTTGGCTTCCCAAGTAGCTGGGACTACAGGCATGCGCCATTACATCTGGCTAACTTTTGTGTTTTAGTAGAGACAGGGTTTTACCATGTTGCCCAGGCTGGTCTCCAACTCCTGACCTCAAGTGATTCACCCGCCTCGGCCTCCCAAAGTGCTGGGATTACAGGTGTGAGCCACGGTGACCAGCCGAACTAACCGTTATTACAGTGGTCCTATGCTGATAGCCTTGGCTTCTGTCCTTTGTTCCAACAGACTCCCTCGTAGGGTCGCTGGCTCTGTGTGTCACATACCTCAGATCTGCATGGCGCATCGTTGGCCCTGATGTGTGGGAGCCATTGCTCCAGCTCAGGCCTCTGGTGACTCCCTCCCCCTCCTCTCCCAACTCTGAGGCCCAGGGACTGGGAATCGCTGGCCTGTGTTGGGTTTGGACCCGGCCCTGCCACGGCTGGCAGCCTGACCTTGAACGCATTTCCTAACATAGCTGAGTTTCAGTTTTCTCTTTTCTAAAATAGAGGTGGTACTACTCGCCTCTGGGGTTGAGAATCGGTCTGTAAAACAGGAAGCACTGCACCTGGCCCAGAATGAGCTTAGAAAGCCTCTACCTTTCACTTTCCCCCATAAACTCCCCTCCCTCTGTCAGCTGCCTTTCTTCCTCTTTGCCTGGATGCTCTCCCTCTCCCCACCTCCTTTCCAATCCACCCGCTCCACTCTGGGCTCTGAGACCTCTCCAGCACCAGGCCCATCCTCAGCTCCTGGTGAGTCCTGCTCCCCTCCCCCACAGGGTTATGGGACCCACCTGATGAACCACCTGAAGGAGTATCATATCAAGCACAACATTCTCTACTTCCTCACCTACGCGGACGAGTACGCCATCGGCTACTTCAAAAAGCAGGTGACCCGTAGCCTTGTCCCACAGTGGTCCTTTGCCTGAAGCCTGGGGTCATTCTGTCCAGCCCCTCTGTGGATGGAGTAGGAGTCCCTTTATGTCCCCTACTTCACCTGACACCTGCCAGGAAAGTCTCCATGCCTATCTTCTTTCCTCTGCTGCCACTGCCCCAGGGGAGAATGGGGGCCTATGGGGCCAGTAGAGCAGGCTGGAGGAACTGGGGGGCCAGTAGAGCAGGCCGGAGGAACTGGGGGGCCAGTAGAGCAGGCCGGAGGAACTGGGGGGCCAGTAGAGCAGGCCGGAGGAACTGGGGGGCCAGTAGAGCAGCCTGGAGGAACTGGGGGACCAGTAGAGCAGCCTGGAGGAACTGGGGGACCAGTAGAGCAGCCTGGAGGAACTGGCGGGGCCAGTAGAGAAGGCCAGAGGAACTGGGGGGCCAGTAGAGCAGGCTGGAGGAACTGGGGGGCCAGTAGAGCAGCCTGGAGGAACTGGGAGGCCAGTAGAGAAGGCCAGAGGAACTGGGGAGCCAGAGCAGGCTGGAGGAACTGGGGGGCCAGTAGAGCAGGCTGGAGGAATGGGGGGGCCAGTAGAGCAGGCCGGAGGAACTGGGGGGCCAGTAGAGAAGGCCGGAGGAACTGGGGAGTCAGAGCAGGCTGGAGGAACTGGGGGACCAGTAGAGCAGGCCGGAGGAACTGGGGGGCCAGTAGAGAAGGCCAGAGGAACTGGGGAGCCAGTAGAGCAGGCTGGAGGAACTGGGGGGCCAGTAGAGTGGCCTGGAGGAACTGGGGGGCCAGTAGAGCAGCCTGGAGGAACTGGCGGGCCAGTAGAGCAAGCTGGAGGAACTGGGGGGCCAGTAGAGCAGGCTGGAGGAACTAGGGGGCCAGTAGAGCAAGCTGGAGGAACTGGGGGGCCAGTAGAGAAGGCCAGAGGAACTGGGGAGCCAGTAGAGCAGCCTGGAGGAACTGGGGGGCCAGTAGAGCAGCCTGGAGGAACTGGGGGGCTCTTCGGGATGAGTCAGGAGCGGGCAGCTGACCCGGGACCTTTCCAGGGTCCGTTCAAACCCTCAGTGCCCCAGGAGGAGGTTCAGGAGCAGGAGGTGTCACATGGCACGTGCCACCCCTCTGGTGCTCCCAGCGGAGGGACTACAGAAGTTGGGAAATATGGATGGACTGGGTCATGACCATCCACCCTCCAGGGTTTCTCCAAGGACATCAAGGTGCCCAAAAGCCGATACCTGGGCTACATCAAGGACTACGAGGGAGCAACGCTGATGGAGTGTGAGCTGAATCCCCGCATCCCCTACACAGAGCTGTCCCACATCATCAAGAAGCAGAAAGAGGTAGTGTGCGCACGTGCGCATCTGTGGGAGTTTTCATGAATGTGCATGCGGAGGGCGAGCGCACGTGTGTAGACCTGTACTACGTGTACATGCGTGTATGTGTGTGTGTGAGTGAGGAGGGGACAGGCCAGGATCTTGGTTCTTGCTCTGCTCCCTTGGGGAAGGTATGAGGGGAGGTGCTGGATTAGGTGGCATTGCATCTGGGTGGGTGCAGCTGGTGGCTCTGACTGTGGCCCTGGGAGGGGTTGTTGCTGGGGCTGGAGCTGGCCCCTTAGACCCTTCCTTCCCTCAGATCATCAAGAAGCTGATTGAGCGCAAACAGGCCCAGATCCGCAAGGTCTACCCGGGGCTCAGCTGCTTCAAGGAGGGCGTGAGGCAGATACCTGTGGAGAGTGTCCCTGGCATTCGTAAGCAGAGGTCTCGGTTGCGGGGTAGTGGGGGCACGCTGCTTGGGGTGCAGACCGGCATTCTTAGAGACATTCTCCCACTTCCCACTTTGCAGGAGAGACGGGCTGGAAGCCGTTGGGGAAGGAGAAGGGGTGAGTGTTTTGTCAAAGGAGCCAGGTTGGGGGCGGGGCAGAGGGACTCGGAGCCTCAGACTTGGTGTGTCTCGCCCCAGGAAGGAGCTGAAGGACCCCGACCAGCTCTACACAACCCTCAAAAATCTGCTGGCCCAAATCAAGGTGGGGAGACCAGGTTGCCTTTCCGGGGCCCCTGCACCAATGGCTGTGGCCTCTTGATGCAGTGTGAGGTGGGTGGCGTTCTCGGGCTGGCGTGGGTGCAGCAGGGCTGTCCCCAGCTCGGCTCTTCTCTCCAGTCGCACCCCAGTGCCTGGCCCTTCATGGAGCCTGTGAAGAAGTCGGAGGCCCCTGACTACTACGAGGTCATCCGCTTCCCCATTGGTGAGGACCCTCCATTCCATCTCCTTCCCCCCCTTCCATCCCCATACCTGCTCCTGCCCTCACTGCGCCCTGCAGCCCCATGGGGCCCACCCCGGTGGACAGCCCTGCCATGGTCCTCAGCCTCTTAAAGCTGTGCTCCGCCTCCTGCTGCCCCAGACCTGAAGACCATGACTGAGCGGCTGCGAAGCCGCTACTATGTGACCCGGAAGCTCTTTGTGGCCGACCTGCAGCGGGTCATCGCCAACTGCCGCGAGTACAACCCCCCGGACAGCGAGTACTGCCGCTGCGCCAGCACCCTGGAGAAGTTCTTCTACTTCAAGCTCAAGGAGGGAGGGCTCATTGACAAGTAGGCCCAGCTTTGGACCACAGCCCTGACCTTGAATGTCTCCACCTCGGATTCTGATCTGATCCTTAGGGGATGCCCTGGCCCCACGGACCCAACTCAGCTTGAGACACTCTAACCAAGGGCCCTCTGGCCCCTGATCCTGCATCCCTTTCTGGACCTTCAGGCACCCCCAAGCCTGCAGCTCTGTCCCAGCCTTCACTGTGTGTGAGAGGTCTCCTGGGTTGGGGCCCAGTCCCTCTAGAGTGGCTGGTGGCCAGGGATGAACTTTGCCCAGCCGTGGTGGCCCCCAGACCTGGTCCCTAAGAGCTTTGGAGGCTTGGATTCCTGGGCCTGGCCCAGGTGGCTATTTCCCTGAGGACCAGGACTGCTCATTTTAGCTTGAGTGATGGCTTCAGGGGTTGGAAGTTCAGTCCAAACTGGAGGGGGCCATGCCTTGTCCGGTACTGTACTGTCAGTCTCCCCCGGGGTGGGGGTATGGGGACCATTCATTCCCTGGCATTAATCCCTTAGAGGGAACAATAAAGCTTTTTATTTCTCTGTGTGATTGTTTCTTTGGTATAGTCCCAGCCTTAGCAGGCTCACCTTGGCCCCCCAGGGACCTCTTGCAAACTGGAGGCTGCTCTCCCCAGCAAGTCTCAGACCTGGTCCTGTGCTACACCTGCCCCCTGCGCAGCCCAGGTCTCACCTGCTCTAGTCGGGCAGACCTACCTGGCTGCAGCCCCCCACCTCTTCCCTCCTCCAGGCTGCTCCTGATCCAGATGCCAGGGCAGCAGGGGTCAGAACCTCCTGACTTAACCTTAACCTGGGTGGACGTGGTTACAACTGACCGCAAAAGGGCCAAAGCGTAGAGGATCTCGTAGCAGTGAAAGAGTGCTTCCCTGTTAGCACACATGGGGCTTTTTCTCGGGCAGGGATGGGAGATTCCTAAATCGGCTCAGCTGGCTCCTCCCCTCAGTTTCAGTTTCCATTTCCGATTTCTGCTGTCTGCGCTGAGCACAGCGGCACCAGGCTGAGCTAAACAGGGCCGCCCTGGGCAGGCCTACCTGGTGGTGCAGGTGAGACCCGGGCTGGGCAGGGGGCAGGTGTAGCCTGTGTTACTCCCACCCCCACCTTTTGGCCAGAGTAGTCTCCTGAAGGGTTTTGAGGGTGTCCTCCCCCACCTCCCTCAAGTGTGGTGGAGTCCTGGGCAAAGGGAGGTCTCTGTACCGACCAGTCTGGCCAGGAGTTGGGATGAGTGGAGGGGCCAGTGGGTCTGAGTCCCCTGCCATTCCCAGAATGGAGCTGTGGCCCTACCAATGGGAGGTGATCATGCCTGCCACAGCGCTGGCGCAGCGGCAGTACTCGTCCCGGAGTTTGTACTCGCGGCAGTTGGCGATGACTGTTAGCACAAACGGTTCTTTTTTATTGGTTCTTTTTCCCGGGGCGGGGATGGGAGATTCCTAAGTCGGCTCAGCTGGCTCCTTCCTTCAGTTTCAGTTTCCATTTCGGGTCTCTGAGCTGAGCACAGTAGCACTAGGCTGAGTTAAGTGGGACTGCCCTGGGCAGACCTACCGACTAGAGCAGGTGAGACCTGGGCTGGGCAGGGGGCAGGTATAGCCTGTGTTACTCCTGCCTCCCGCTTTTGGGCAGAGCAGAGTCCTGATGGGTTCTGAGGGAGTCCTGAGCAAAGGGAGGTCTCTGCACGAACTGGTCTGGCCAGGAGTTGGGAGGGGTGGAGGGGCCGGTGGGTCTGAGTCCCCCGCTATTCCCAGAATGGAGCTGCGGCCCTACCAGTGGGAGGTGATCATGCCTGCCCTGGAGGGCAAGAATATCATCATCTGGCTGCCCACGGGGGCTGGGAAGACCCGGGCGGCTGCTTATGTGGCCAAGCGGCACCTAGAGACTGTGGATGGAGCCAAGGTGGTTGTATTGGTCAACAGGGTGAGTGGTCTGTCCCTGCCCCACTCCCCCACCACCAAGCAGGGTCTCAGCTCTTCAGGCATCTCTCAGTCCCCGCCAGAACTCCAAAGCTGCTGTGGCCATCCCTAAGCTCACCTGTCTTTCCACCCCGGCTCAGTACCCAGCCATGCCCTGTGGGTCACCTTACCTCCCCCGCACTTCCCTGGCCCCAGATTCAGCTTTCTCTTCCCAGCTCATTCTCCACCTCCAGGTGCACCTGGTGACCCAGCACGGTGAAGAGTTCAGGCGCATGCTGGATGGACGCTGGACCGTGACAACACTGAGTGGGGACATGGGGCCACGTGCTGGCTTTGGCCACCTGGCCCGGTGCCATGACCTGCTCATCTGCACAGCAGAGCTTCTGCAGATGGCGCTGACCAGCCCCGAGGAGGAGGAGCACGTGGAGCTCACTGGTGAGGGCCATGGCCAGGAGGAAAAGGATGTGCATCTGGGGTACTTCCTCCCGCCAACCCCAGGGCACCCACTGGAATCAAGGTGTTGGGAGTTTTTGTGGGAGTGGGGGGTTGCCTGTTCACAAAACCCCAGCAGACACTCTAGTAGAAACAGGCCGGGCTATAGTATAGGATCTTAGACAAGTCCCTTCCCCAGCTGAGCCTCAGTTTACTAATCTGTGAAATGGAGAGAAATCATCCCTGCCTGGCTCTCCATCCTGGGACACAGCTGCAAGTCGTGAAGGGAAGAAGGAATTCTTTTTTTTTTTTTTTTTTGAGACGGAGTCTCGCTCTGTCGCCCAGGCTGGAGTGCAGTGGCCAGATCTCAGCTCACTGCAAGCTCTGCCTCCCGGG